AGCCTACAATAAAAAAAAATACATATTTCCATGCAAAATAATGGTACCGCTTTCAGCACAGAAATACTGACATAATCAGACTGCTAGGGAGGTTAAGTGGATTTTGTCAGATACAGTCAGTTGGTAAATACAGTTGGTGCCTAACTGACCTAATAAATCAGGTCAGTTAGTTATGTCATTGTTGTCAAGGTATTTGGGTAAATGATATCATGTTGTATTTTGTATTTGTTTATTTAATAAAAATGGCTGCTATGGCCTTTCAACCCCAAAAAGAATGTTTCCAGTGGATTGATTATTTGTGAATTGTAAACCTGTTGGGTGGGGGTATTAAAAGGCAGACAGCCACAACACTAAGTCTAGGTTCACACCTAAGCGTTTTCCACTGCGTTTTGCAGAAACACGCAGTACAGTCCATGTAACATGATTTTCTATGGGACAGGTTCACATCTCCACGTTTTCTCCCTGGGCGTTTTTTAGAAAGGGTGAGGGACTTTTTTATAGACCTCAATGGAGGTGCTGCAGAAAAGCATGTAGTGTGTTTTTGATGCATTTCTCATGCGTTTTGCATTTTGATCTGCCCAGCAACAGGTTGAAAAAAAAAAAAAAACACAAAATGTATCAAAAACGCATAAAGAACGTGACAAAACATGCATGTGCAAAACGCACCAAAAAAAGCACTGCAGAAATGCATCAAATGCAAACTGCATAGGTGTGAACCTAGCCTAAGCAACACCTCACCCCAGGTTCACACCCAAGCATTTTCTGCAGCGTTTTGCAGAAATTCAGTACAGTCCATTTAACATGATTTCTTATGGGACAGGTTCAAACCCGATGCATTTTTTGGAAAGGGTCAGGGACATTTTTGATGCAAAAAACTTAAGTTTTTTTTTTTTTATAGACTTCGATGGAAACACTTCAGAAAAGCATGTATTCTGTTTTTGCTGCGTGTTCGCCACGTTTTGTGTTTTAAATCTGCCTAGCAACAAGAAAAAAAAAAAAAAAAGCAAAATTCATCAAAAATGCAACGCAAAACGCACTGCAGAAAAAGCTCAAACGCAACCTGCATAGGTGCAAACCTAGTCTTAGTCATGTTAGTTGTTAAATAAAATAAAAAGTGCAGAGCTAAAATAAATATTGAAAGGATCTAGATAACCTCCATTTTGTTGATGTACGCCATTTTAAGTATTAAGTTAGGTTTTTGCAGATATATTAGAAGTTTAATGTAACTGTTTCAGTTTGCTCAAGGATGTATAAACAATGATAAGATGACCCTGAACTTTCTGTGTTCAGCCGATTCTCAGAAAGTTAGCAGAAACAGTTTATACTAGGAAATGTATATGTCATGTTTCATGTAGTCAGCTCATGATGGAAACTTACAAATTGCAGTTTTGAAACTTGCTCCCCCCTCCCTTTTTAATTCTGTCCTGTTCTCTATATAACCTAAGCAGTGTCTAATAAACTTTGAACATCTTTGAACAACAACTGCCTGCTGTTATTCCGTGTTCACAGGGTGTTCCCAGAATTCTGCTGATAACCAGGAATCTCTCCACGGATCGGGGTCGCTGAGGGGATAAAGAAAATCGATCCTTTCAAATATAAAAATCAATATAAATGCCAAAGATGCATAAAAGCTGAATTTCACAATAAAACAACTGGTAATGACACATAAGACTGTTTAAAGTACTCATAAACCTAAAGGTATAACATTAGAATGAATGATATCAATACTATAAATAATTAATAAATGTCCAGTATAAGTGCAGGTAAATAGCAATTAATCCAGGTGGGTGACTCTTATTATCCCAGTGGAAAAACAGGTAATCCAGTGACGTGCAGAGTATAGTAAAAATGCACACTCACCAGATGCGCATTTTTAAGTGTGCAGTATGTATTAATCAGCCAGAGGTCCCCTCTATGGTAGAATAGGATGCAGCCTGGTATGGAAAAACCTCCTCTGTGGTTATGGGCGATCAGATATCAGTCAGAGGTTCCCTTAATGGTAAGCTGCAGTAGGGACTGGTGTGGATCTCTCTCGTCTGGGCCCTGGGATGGTCACCTGGGTTCCTGGGAAGTTAAATGCTCGGTAAAGAGCAAAAAAGGACGGTGCCCATAGTGTAGTAATTCTCAATTCTTTAAAGGTTTACTAGGGTAATAGTATAAAATCCAATGAACAAACTTAAATCTCCATAAGATGCGCTTTTTTCCCCTCAAAAATGGAGGGAAAATGTCAGTGAGTCTTATGGAGTGAATATAGAGCGGCCGGTCTGGTATTTCCACCGTCTCAGAATACCGGACCAGCCGCTCAGCTCTTCTCTGTAGCAGGACCTTACCTGTTCCTCGGTCCAGCGCTGTAGTCTTCCAGCGCCGGCATCTTTAGTGTGGGCACCCGGCTGTGACAGCTCGGTGCCCACTGCGCATGCGTGAGAAGCGCTGCGCTTTGTGAATGGCCCGGCGTCTTCTGGGACACATGACAGGTCCCAGAAGACGTTGGGCCATTCACAAAGCACAGCGCTTCTCGCGCATGCGCAGTGGGCACATGGCTGTCAGCCGGGTGCCCACACTAAAGAGGGGACAACTCCGCGGAAGTGGGAGCGGGTACCTGTCAAATTCAGGTACCCGCCCCCCTCCCTCCCCAAAGGTACACAGTTTCTGGTCATCTCCTGTACTGTCTGCAGTCTCTGGTCATCTCCTGTACTATGTCTGCAGTCTCTGGTCATCTCCTGTACTGTGTCTGCAGTCTCTGGTCATCTCCTGTACTGTGTCCGCAGTCTCTGGTCATCTCCTGTACTGTGTCCGCAGTCTCTGGTCATCTCCTGTACTGTGTCTGCAGTCTCTGGTCATCTCCTGTTCTATGTCTGCAGTCTCTGGTCATCTCCTGTACTGTGTCCGCAGTCTCTGGTCATCTCCTGTACTGTCTCCGCAGTCTCTGGTCATCCCCTGTACCGTGTCCGCAGTCTCTGGTCATCTCCTGTACTGTCTGCAGTCTCTGGTCATCTCCTGTACTGTGTCCGCAGTCTCTGGTCATCTCCTGTACTGTGTCCGCAGTCTCTGGTCATCTCCTGTACTGTGTCTGCAGTCTCTGGTCATCTCCTGTACTGTGTCCGCAGTCTCTGGTCATCTCCTGTACTATGTCCGCAGTCTCTGGTCATTCCCTGTACTATGTCTGCAGTTTCTGGTCATCCCTGTACTATGTCCGCAGTCTCTGGTCATCTCCTGTACTGTGTCCGCAGTCTCTGGTCATCTCCTGTACTGTGTCCGCAGTCTCTGGTCATCTCCTGTACTGTGTCCGCAGTCTCTGGTCATCTCCTGTACTGTCTACAGTCTCTAGTCATCTCCTGTACTGTGTCTGCAGTCTCTGGTCATCTCCTATACTGTGTCCGCAGTCTCTGGTCATCTCCTGTACTATGTCCGCAGTCTCTGGTCATCTCCTCTATTGTGTCCGCAGTCTTTGGTTATCTCCTGTACTGTCCGCAGTCTCTGGTCATCTCCTGTACTGTGTCCGCAGTCTCTGGTCATCTCCTGTACTGTGTCCGCAGTCTCTGGCCATCTCTTGTACTATGTCCGCAGTCTCTGGTCATCTCTTGTACTATGTCTGCAGTCTCTGGTCATCTCCTGTACTGTCTGCAGTCTCTGGTCATCTCCTGTACTGTCCGCAGTCTCTGGTCATCTCCTGTACTGTGTCCGCAGTCTCTGGTCATCTCCTGTACTATGTCCGCAGTCTCTGGTCATCCCCTGTACTGTCCGCAGTCTCTGGTCATCTCCTGTACTGTGTCCGCAGTCTCTGGTCATCTCCTGTACTGTGTCCGCAGTCTCTGGTCATCTCCTGTACTATGTCCGCAGTCTCTGGTCATCCCCTGTACTGTCCGCAGTCTCTGGTCATCTCCTGTACTATGTCCGCAGTCTCTGGTCATCTCCTGTACTATGTCCGCAGTCTCTGGTCGTCTCCTGTACTGTGTCCGCAGTCTCTGGTCATTCCCTGTACTGTCCGCAGTCTCTGGTCATCTCCTGTATTGTGTCCGCAGTCTCTGGTTATCTCCTGTACTGTCTGCAGTCTCTGGTCATCTTCTGTACTATGTCCGCAGTCTCTGGTCATCCCCTGTACTGTGTCCGCAGTCTCTGGTCATCTCCTGTACTGTGTCCGCAGTCTCTGGTCATCTCCTGTACTATGTCCGCAGTCTCTGGTCATCTCCTGTACTATGTCCGCAGTCTCTGGTCATCCCCTGTACTGTCCGCAGTCTCTGGTCATCTCCTGTACTATGTCCGCAGTCTCTGGTCATCTCCTGTACTATGTCCGCAGTCTCTGGTCGTCTCCTGTACTGTGTCCGCAGTCTCTGGTCATTCCTGTACTGTCCGCAGTCTCTGGTCATCTCCTGTATTGTGTCCGCAGTCTCTGGTTATCTCCTGTACTGTCTGCAGTCTCTGGTCATCTTCTGTACTATGTCCGCAGTCTCTGGTCATCCCCTGTACTGTGTCCGCAGTCTCTGGTCATCTCCTGTACTGTGTCCGCAGTCTCTGGTCATCTCCTGTACTATGTCCGCAGTCTCTGGCCATCTCCTGTACTGTGTCCGCAGTCTCTGGTCATCTCCTGTACTATGTCCGCAGTCTCTGGTCATCTCCTGTACTATGTCCGCAGTCTCTGGCCATCTCCTGTACTGTGTCCGCAGTCTCTGGTCATCTCCTGTACTATGTCCGCAGTCTCTGGTCATCTCCTGTACTATGTCCGCAGTCTCTGGCCATCTCCTGTACTGTGTCCGCAGTCTTTGGTCATCCCCTGTACTATGTCCGCAGTCTCTGGTCATCTCCTGTACTATGTCCGCAGTCTCTGGTCATCCCCTGTACTGTCCGCAGTCTCTGGTCATCTCATGTACTGTGTCCGCAGTCTCTGGTCATCCCCTGTACTGTCTGCAGTCTCTGGTCATCCCCTGTACTGTCCGCAGTCTCTGGTCATCCCCTGTACTGTGTCTGCAGTCTCTGGTCATCTCCTGTACTGTGTCTGCAGTCTCTGGTCATCTCCTGTACTGTGTCCGCAGTCTCTGGTCACCTCCTGTACTGTGTCCGCAGTCTCTGGTCATCTCCTGTACTGTGTCCGCAGTCTCTGGTCATCCCCTGTACTGTGTCCGCAGTCTCTGGTCATCTCCTGTACTGTGTCCGCAGTCTCTGGTCATCTCCTGTACTGTGTCCGCAGTCTCTGGTCATCTCCTGTACTGTGTCCGCAGTCTCTGGTCACCTCCTGTACTGTGTCCGCAGTCTCTGGTCATCTCCTGTACTATGTCTGCAGTCTCTGGTCACCTCCTGTACTGTGTCCGCAGTCTCTGGTCATCTCCTGTACTATGTCCGCAGTCTCTGCTCATCTCCTGTACTGTGTCCGCAGTCTCTGGTCATCTCCTGTACTATGTCCGCAGTCTCTGGTCGTCTCCTGTACTGTGTCCGCAGTCTCTGGTCATTCCCTGTACTGTCCGCAGTCTCTGGTCATCTCCTGTATTGTGTCCGCAGTCTCTGGTTATCTCCTGTACTGTCTGCAGTCTCTGGTCATCTTCTGTACTATGTCCGCAGTCTCTGGTCATCCCCTGTACTGTGTCCGCAGTCTCTGGTCATCTCCTGTACTGTGTCCGCAGTCTCTGGTCATCTCCTGTACTATGTCCGCAGTCTCTGGTCATCTCCTGTACTATGTCCGCAGTCTCTGGTCATCCCCTGTACTGTCCGCAGTCTCTGGTCATCTCCTGTACTATGTCCGCAGTCTCTGGTCATCTCCTGTACTATGTCCGCAGTCTCTGGTCGTCTCCTGTACTGTGTCCGCAGTCTCTGGTCATTCCCTGTACTGTCCGCAGTCTCTGGTCATCTCCTGTATTGTGTCCGCAGTCTCTGGTTATCTCCTGTACTGTCTGCAGTCTCTGGTCATCTTCTGTACTATGTCCGCAGTCTCTGGTCATCCCCTGTACTGTGTCCGCAGTCTCTGGTCATCTCCTGTACTATGTCCGCAGTCTCTGGCCATCTCCTGTACTGTGTCCGCAGTCTCTGGTCATCTCCTGTACTATGTCCGCAGTCTCTGGTCATCTCCTGTACTATGTCCGCAGTCTCTGGCCATCTCCTGTACTGTGTCCGCAGTCTCTGGTCATCTCCTGTACTGTGTCTGCAGTCTCTGGTCATCTCCTGTACTGTGTCCGCAGTCTCTGGTCACCTCCTGTACTGTGTCCGCAGTCTCTGGTCATCTCCTGTACTGTGTCCGCAGTCTCTGGTCATCCCCTGTACTGTGTCCGCAGTCTCTGGTCATCTCCTGTACTGTGTCCGCAGTCTCTGGTCATCTCCTGTACTGTGTCCGCAGTCTCTGGTCATCTCCTGTACTGTGTCCGCAGTCTCTGGTCACCTCCTGTACTGTGTCCGCAGTCTCTGGTCATCTCCTGTACTATGTCTGCAGTCTCTGGTCACCTCCTGTACTGTGTCCGCAGTCTCTGGTCATCTCCTGTACTATGTCCGCAGTCTCTGCTCATCTCCTGTACTGTGTCCGCAGTCTCTGGTCATCTCCTGTACTATGTCTGCAGTCTCTGGTCACCTCCTGTACTGTGTCCGCAGTCTCTGGTCACCTCCTGTACTGTGTCCGCAGTCTCTGGTCATCTCCTGTACTATGTCCGCAGTCTCTGCTCATCTCCTGTACTGTGTCCGCAGTCTCTGGTCATCTCCTGTACTGTCTGCAGTCCGGAGGAGCCTGCACGCCGTGTTGTCACACTGGATCATGGAAAAAACGTGGCTGAACTGATGAAAAAAACGGAACACCCGTGTGAAAGGGGCCTTAGTTGTTAGTGTTCCAACATGACTGCGCACCAGTGCACAAAGCAAGGTCCATAAAGACATGGAGGAGCCAGTTTGGGGTGGAGGGAACTTGACTGGCCTGCACAGAGTCCTGACTTCTACCCCATAGAACACCTTTGGGATGAATTAGAGCAGAGACTGCGAGCCAGGCCTCCTCCTCCCCCGACATCAGTGCCTGACCTGACAAATGTCCTTCTGGAAGAATGGTCCAACCTTCCCATAGACACCCTCCTAAACCTTATGGACGGCCTTCCCAGAAGAGTTGAAGCTGTTATAGCTGCAAAGGGCGGGGCCAACTCAATATTGAACCCTACGGACTAAGACTGGGAGGCCATTAAAGTTCATGTACGTGGAAAGGCAGGCCGACCAATACTTTTGACAATATAATGTAACTGATAAAAAAAAAAGAATGTACACCGTACAAGCGTTATATGAAAACTGTGATCTTATAAACACAACTATTTCCTATTTTTGGCTGCAGTAAATATTTATTGATCCATAAACATGAAACCACGAAAAACAGAGTTTTATAATTCCTCATCTTCTTGCAAATCCAAGAGAGCATAAAGAGCCTCAGAATAAATCCAGAAAAACACCCAGATAGCCCTTTGTACATACAGTTTCTATGTGTGCCTGGTGAGCATTAATATTCAATGCAAGCACCTTCATTACTTTACAGTAGCCACAATGCAGACCACGCAGCTGCTGCGGCTTCATGCTGCACAGGGGGTCCCAGGCTCTCTGACTGTAAAATGATTGATTTACTCAACAACAATACTACTGGTTCATATTTAGAAAGGGTTGCAGAGTGGCCCAAGGTTCCCCATATGTTTGACCATGAATCTTCTAATTAGATTAAGCAATTATATTTTATTATTCACTGTACTGCCAAATCCTAATTGCATCAGTATAGATGAGGATCCCACTTGGATGTGAATTCCATTAAAGTCTATGGGCACAAGTTGGATAGAAGTCGCCTTGAAGTAGTACAGGAACCTTTTCTAAAGTCGGAGAAACTTCAGTAGTGCTAACTAAGACAGCTCCAGAGAGAGAGATATCATTTCCCCCCCCGGTACAAATCATTGGTAAGACCTCATCTGAAATATGCAGTTCAGTTTTGGGCACCAATTCACAAAAAGAACATTGGGGAACTGGAAAAAGTACAGAGAAGGGCAACCAAACTGATAAGAGGCATGGAGGAGATCAGCTATGAGGAAAGATTAGAGGAACTGAATGTATTCTCTGCTGAGAAGAGGAGATTAAGGGGGATATGATCTCCATGTATAATACATAAGGGGGGGATATGATCACCATGTATAATACATAAGGGGTGATATGATCTCCATGTATAATACATAAGGGGGGATATGATCTCCATGTATAATACATAAGGGGGGATATGATCTCCATGTATAATACATAAGGGGGGATATGATCTCCATGTATAATACATAAGGGGGGATATGATCTCCATGTATAATACATAAGGGGGATATGATCTCCATGTATAATACATAAGGGGGGATATGATCTCCATGTATAATACATAAGGGGGGATATGATCTCCATGTATAATACATAAGGGGGGATATGATCTCCATGTATAATACAAAAGGGGGATATGATCACCATGTATAATACAAAAGGGGGATATGATCTCCATGTATAATACATAAGGGGGGGATATGATCACCATGTATAATACATAAGGGGGATATGATCACCATGTATAATACATAATGGGGGATATGATCTCCATGTGATATGATCACCATGTATAATACATAAGGGGGGATATGATCACCATGTATAATACATAAGGGGGGATATGATCTCCATGTGATATGATCACCATGTATAATACATAAGGGGGGGATATGATCTCCATGTTTAATACATAAGGGGTATATGATCTCCCACGTATATAAATACATAAGGGGGATATGATCTCCATTTATAATACATAAGGGGGGGATATGATCTCCATGTATAATACATAAGGGGGGATATGATCTCCATGTATAATACAAAAGGGGGGGATATGATCTCCATGTATAATACATAAGGGGGGATATGATCACCATGTATAATACATAAGGGGGGATATGATCTCCATGTATAATACATAAGGGGGATATGATCTCCATGTATAATACATAAGGGGGGATATGATCTCCATGTATAATACATAAGGGGGGGTATGATCTCCATGTATAATACATAAGGGGGATATGAACTCCATGTATAATACATAAGGGGGATATGATCTTCATGTATAATACATAAGGGGGGATATGATCTCCATGTATAATACATAAGGGGGGGTATGATCGCCATGTATAATACATAAGGGGGATATGAACTCCATGTATAATACATAAGGGGGATATGAACTCCATGTATAATACATAAGGGGGGATATGATCTCCATGTATAATACATAAGGGGGGATATGATCTCCATGTATAATACATAAGGGGGGATATTATCTCCATGTATAATACATAAGGGGGGATATGATCTCCATGTATAATACATAAGGGGGGATATGATCTCCATGTATAATACATAAGGGGCGATATGATCTCCATGTATAATACATAAGGGGGGATATGATCTCCATGTATAAATACATCAGTGGTTCATATAGTGAACTCGGTGCAGAGTTATTCCCCCTGAGGTCATCACAGAGGACAAGGGGGCACTCCTTACATCTGGGAGGAAAAGAAATGTAATCTCCAAACACGGAAAGGTTTCTTCACAGTAAGAGCTGTGAGAATGTGGAATAGACTCCCTCAAGAGTTGGTTCTGGCCAGCTCAGTGATTTGCTGTAGGAAAGTCCTGGATTCTTTCTTGGATACACAGAATATAACTGGATATAACATTTATAGGTAAAGTTGATCCAGGGAATATCCGATTGCCTCTCGGGGGATCAGGAAGGAATGTGTTTCCCCTGCAGGAGCAAATTGATTCATGCTTTGCTGGGGGGTTTTTTTGCCTTCATCTGGATCAACTGTGGGTGTAGGATTATAACTTTTTTTTGTATGACTGAATTGGATGGATTTTTGCCTTTTTTCAGCCAGACTAACTATGGAATTATGTAGCCGACAGTGGTGATGCCATGTTGCTGCGGGGGTTACTATGAGTGGCCTAGCATGAGACAGGTACTCGTCAAAAGTGCCCAACCTTTCCACCTCTGTGCTCCATTTATAACACCTTTACTATATGTTCCCACAGTGCTAAACATTCCATCCAACCTTCATTCATAGAAGGCTTTGCCATATGGCTTGATTCTTATCCATCCTGCAGTACCACTAGGAAGGCATCTATCTGGTCCTGAATTCCTTCTGCTGCAGAGTAATGGCCCCAAACATACAAAATCATAAAGTACTATTTTGGTGAAAAGAAGGACAAGAAGTACTAGAATAGATAGTATGGGGTCCACAGCTCCCTGATCTGATAATAGGAACTGAGACAGAATAGGTAAAGTTGATCCAGGAAATATCCGATTGCCTCTCGGGGGATCAGGAAGGAATTTTTTTCCCAACGGGAGCAAATTGGATCGTGCTTTGCTGGGTTTTTTTTTTTTTGCCTTCCTCTGGATCAACTGTGGGTGTAGGATTATAACTTTTTTTTTTTTTTTAATGGTTGAACTGGATGGACTTTTGTCTTTTTTCAGGCAACTAACTATTTAACTATGTAAATTGGGATTTCACATGTCATGCTACTTGGGGTCTCACAAGTCGGATCCCAAGTTGCGGCAGTGTGAACCGAGCCTTAAGTCGCGTGACAAGTCATACAAGTGTGAATGGGTTCTTAGACAGATATCACCAGTTGGTAATATCCCCTCATCACCTGTTTAATAGTATTTTTTTCTGCCCCAGTAACAGTGGTCACCAGAAAAGAGGGGTGAATTTGTTGTACCCTATGGGGACACAGACAGAAATGGAGACCTGACATGGG